CTCCTCCTCCTCCTCCTCCTCCTCCTTCTTCTTCTTCTTCTTTCTCTCTCTCTCTCTCTCTCTCTCTCTCTCTCTCTCTCTCTCTCTCTCTCTGGCTTTCTCTGCCTCTACTATCCTCTTAACTCCCCACCCCATACCCTGAAAACTCTATTCTATACTATACCATTGTGTGGCTGGTCCCTCCGGGTAAAGGGATGCCTCAGCATGGGCCCGAGAAGGCGTCCCCTTCCCCCATACCTGACTACTCCCCCATAGAACATATCCCCCTTTCTCTTTATCTTTTTTATAAACACAACACTGGGGAGTAGAGGAAGGAGGATCTCTGAGTTTGAGGCCAGCCTGGTCTAGAGAGTAAGTTCTAGGACAGCCAGGGCTACACAGAGAAACCTTGTCTTAAACAAAACAAAACAATCTAAAAATATTCGTTGAGACCTCTTAAATGGTCAACAAAGAGTAAGAGACTATGGGGTGTTCATCTCTAAACTGGATCTTCATCTCTCTTACACACACACACACACACACTCACACACACTCATACTTTCCCCAGGCTCAGGGATCTTTCTAGAAGAGGGGTGGAAGAGAATGTCAGAGCTTGTGTTGGAAAACAAGGAGACAGTATTTTCTGGATTCAGAAGGGCGTCTCCATATATGAACTCACAGCGACTGTGACGACATGCATAATACCTGTACAAGTTCAAGTCAGATAGAACTCCAGCACAGAGGGGTTCGGGGGGGCACACAATCTCACCACCAGCTGAGGAGCTAGTGGGATTTGATAGCTGTGGGGAGAAACAGTTTCCTTTACTGATATGATGACCCCTGGAGGGTAGACCACACATCAGGGCAAGCCAAGCCACACTGCACAAAACAAAAGAGCCTTGATGGGAGTTGGAGAAGAAAACTGACAGTTGGGTGGAGAGGAATGGGAGGGTGAAGATGGTGGTTATGGATAGATGTGGGGGAGAGGGAGTGGATGTGTTCGAGACACATTGAATGACATCTCAAAGAATTAGCAAAAAGAGTAAAATAGTTGACAATTTCACACATGTACATAGTGGGGTTTTTGGTTGTGTTCAAACTCTATTAGGCCTCTCCCTCCTCTCACTGAAAGCTGTCTTCTAAGCAATCTCCCATTTCCATGTCTTTGTATGTGTGGGTGGGTGAGACCCACAGAGTAATATTATGGCAGCTCTAATTAAGGAACATCAATGGGGGCATCTTTACAGCAATAAGGGTATACCAGTGGCCACATCACTGAAGAACATGCTACACCCTCTAGCACATTAGCTTTTCATTAATACAGAGAGTGTAGGACATCATTTGTCCTTCCCATGTGCATGGTGAAATAGGCAATGGATCCAATCTTGTGTAGGTCACTACAACTGCAATGAAGTCACAGATGCAATGGCACGCCATGTCCTGGGCACACTGCTGCACAAAGCTCCTCTCCATCTTCTGGACGTTCCATTCGTGATGGCTTGTTTAGAGGTTCTTGCAGGGGAACATAGCTACTCACGAACCTTTGACTGAAGACTGATCTTCTCTTTCCTATTGCTGTAAAGAGACACCATGACCGAGGCAACTTATAGAAGAGAGTATTTAATCTGGGAGCTTATCATTCCAGGTTAGAGGTGATGACATAGACGATGTTGAAATGGAAGGCTGGATAAACCCTGACAATAGACGGGGTGACAGATGTCAAAGCCAGATTGCCCTCACATCCATGGCACATTCATTCTCTCTGTCCTCTCTGCCTTAATTTCTCCCAGCTTTGGAGGGGTGATATAGATGTCCTGTTCAAGGACAGGCACTCCACAGTCATTTATTTCAGTATGTTGACCAGCTGTCTCTACAGAAACCTTGTGTATGAGATTCTTTATTCTCCCAGGGAGGGATGCCTACAACACCACCTAGGGTATTTTATAACAGAGCCTCTCCCCATTTTTGTCTATAAAAGGTGACGTTCCTTTTGTCTTTTCCACCTCCTTAGGTACTGTCTGTTACACACATTTTGACCTCCCCCTTAACTATGGGGGTGGGGGTGAGAATGAGCCGAGAGGGGTAGGGAGGGAAGTTGGACTTCTCCGAGTACACCTTCTGGTGTAGTTTCACCTTTGGGGCTTTATCAGCATTATGGATAGCAAGGGTACACTACAGAGAGAGGAAGGTGAGAGAAGAGAAAACCTAACAGGTAATTCCAGTTAATAAGCAAACTTACCCCGCCCCCAATACCAATAGCACTTTCAGGAGAAACCGAAAGAATTCAGATGCAAGTGTGAAGATGACAAAGGCAGCCGCTGTCTGCAGTGGCGCTGGCTGGACATAGTGCACTTCTAACGTTGTGTGGCGTGAGGGGGTGCGTGGGGTGATGTGGGAATCAGGGTTCTCCATCGGGAGCAGGAGACACAAGGGGAAGAAGAATCCCATGACGGTGCTCTGGAATTACAGGTCTCTGTCGATTCAGGAGTTGTAAAGAAGCTTTTCCTGACTGGGCATGATGTCCTGCACCTTTAATTCCAGCACTAGGGAGGCAGAGGCAGGAGGATTTCTGTGAGTTCAAGGTCAGGTTGTTTTACATATCGAATCCCAGGACAGCCGGGGCTACATAAGTCTCAAAAGATTAAATAAATAAATAAAACAGAAAAACCCACTTTTCTCCTCAGTTCTGTTGGCTAAATGATTCAGACCGACAGTATGTTACATGCTATTGTACTATGTTTAAAGGTGACACTGACAACTGTCATATCCTAAGGCAACTTGAGAGAAAAGGACATAGTAAGTTTTTCTGCTTATGTTCCCCATGCATTAGTGTTCTGCCCCCAGTTCAAGAAGTCTTCAGTGTAAGGAGGTGGTGAGGAATTCTAATTGTGCCTTAGTTTTAGGAACCCCGGCATTTATCCTGTTCCTACTGTTTCTCTTCTTCTCCTCCTCTTTTTTTTAAAAATTAATTAATTAATTTATTTTTTTATTTTTTTGAGACAAGATCTTTCTATTACATAGCTCTGGCTATCCTGGAACTCGCCACGTAGACGAGCTCGTAGGCTTAGATTTTTTACAAACCTACTTTTAATAAGAGTTCTCAAATCCTAGAACTGACAGGGCCATTCAGCCAGGGTCAGGGGAGAGAGCAGTTAGTGAGCCTGCCCCATCTCTGACTACCAATCAGGCATGCGCAGTAAATGGTATACAAGTAGCAGGCTGGATAACCCCTGCGTTAGTATCACCAAATCAGGAGTGGTGGTATGACTAAGCCAGAGCTGGACGGAGAATGACCGAGCAGAAATGTGTGAGGGAACAGGTTTCTCAGGGAGGACCCACTCAGTGGGGAGTGGGTGGGTGTGGGGGGTGGACACTGCCGATGGAAGATGGAAGCAGTCTTGCGCTTTTCTGTTGTGAGAGCAGGAAACTGGCTCAACCGTTTCCCCATGGGGCAGGACAAAGTTACAGATGGAACATGGTGAAATGGGTTTCCAGCTTCAGTCGGCACCCTTGAAGGGTTACCACTATGGCGTACAGCTGGAGCCCGGGCGCGCACCAAGATGAAGTGGAAGCTAAAAAGTGGACTGAAGGAGAAACAGCAGAAGCATTGGCTCCCCAAATACTAGACCACAGCTGGGCGGGGCCACCTCCTCTGGCCTGCAGCATCAGGGACGGCATCCCTCATGTTACCCTCTTGGGCTCAGGTTTTTATGCCAAGCTCTTGTGTGTTTTTATTCTCTTTCTCTGTAGCTGGAGAAATGGAAGTTGGGGTTAGGTGTGGGTGGATAAGCTCCTGCCTCATGGTATCTAATAAATGCATGTGGAACCGATGTTACGTGGAAGCTTTACTTTATTTTGGTCCAGAACCAGAAAAAGTTTGGGGGTAGAAGCTAAGATATCAGTGGAGAGGAGGGAAGGGGGCGCTTGTCAGAACAGGGAATGTCTTAATTAGGGATTTCATTGTTGTAAAGAGACGTCATGACCAAGGCAACTCTTAAAAGGAGAACATTTAATTGGGGCTGGTTTACAGGTTCAGAGGTTCAGTCCATTATCATCATGGCAGGAAGCATGGCAGTGTGCAGGCAGACATGGTGCTGGAGAAGAAGCTGAGAGTTCTATATCTTGATCTGAAGGCAGCAGAAGGAGACTGGCCAGACTTGAGCAGATATATGAGACCTCAAAGTCTGGCCTCTACAGTGACACACTTCCTCTGACAAGGCCACACCTCCTCCTCTAATAAAGCCACACCTCCTATAGTGCCTCTTCCCTAGGACCAAGCATATTCAAACCACCACACAGAGCAAAGGTGGACCCACAGACAAATCTAGTTTGTGTGTCTCAGCCAAAAGGAAAGTGGTCCAAGGCCTTCTTCAGGCAGGAGGGCTGTAGAACTGGAAGGGCAGGGTCTTTCTTATTTCTTTCTTAAACAACAATAGGTCTAACCAAGGTTGGTCAGAGCACCAAAAAAAAAAAAAAAAAAAAAAAAAAAAAAAAAAAAAACCAAAAAAACCAAACCAAACCAAACAAAACAAAACAGAAACCAAAAAGTAACTAGAGGGTCTCAGACAGGTTTCTACGACAGACGCTGCCTAGAAGACAGAGAGGTCATCATGGAAACTAGGACCCACTGAAAGGAGGGCTTGGAGAAGTGGAGAGGAAACTCCTTTAATTGTGTTTTTGGTGCTTTGGTCTGTAAGCAAGCAGGATGGAGAGAGAGGCTAAACCTAACAGAAAAGTCTGTAGGAACCAGAGGAGCCTAGCCTGGCCGTCTGTGATTCCTTTACGCCTGAAAAAGAAAATTTAAACAACAGAATTTTAATGTCAGTTCTCAGGGACAATTGTATTCTACTTTTAGTTTTATGTATAATTCTGAGGTACAATCTATGAGGATCTTGGCAGCTTTTAATTTACATTGACCCACAGAGCTGTTTGAGGAGCTTTAAGAAAGAACACACACCGGTATCTGAAGCAGGGCCTATCAGATCACAATCTCTGGGTCTGGAAACCAGGCATGTGTATTTTTGAAACAACTCCTCATGTGATTCCGTTTTGAAATTGGATTGAAACCTCACCAGCCTAGAGGAGTAACTCAGCTCTTCTGCAGATTAGAAGACAGACTCCTAGCCATTTGTTCCAGTTGGTTAAGCAGAATTTTTGAAACACAGCCAAAAGTATCCCAGTTAACTAAATCATTAACTAGCAACACAAGAAACTGCATTCAGTCATCAAACATTTACGAATACGTCTGTTCCAGGCTCAGCATTAGGTATAGGATTCAGGCTGCAACGGAGAATGCACTCAGCCTGAAAGTATATGAATTATTTAGACATGGCTACTCATGTCTTACATCAGATACCAAGATAAAAGTGGTAAGTTCCTACTACAAAGACTTACTTGCATAATACCAAGGCATATAGGGACTCTCCCACATGAATTAGACAAGAAAGCCAATACCTGAAACCAGAAAAGGGAAAAAAAAAGTGTTTCTTTTTTCTTTTTTAGTTTAAGGTGATAGTTATTTGCTAATCAATTCTAACACAAAAACTTTAAAAAGAAAGTCATCTGATGGCAAACTAGCACATTGTTAGCTACCTAAAGGGATCTGCAGGCCTTCCTGGTACCAAGACCTTGGAGCTGCAGTGTCTGCCCAGAACCTAGCTTTGCTTACCCAGTCCTTAGGAAGGTGTGATAGTGATCCACCAAGTACTTTGTGAAGGAGCCCAGGGGCCCGAGGCTCTGGTAAGGGACACTCTGAGGCCAGAAGACAACCCACTGCAAGAGAACCAAAGGCACAGAATATTTCCAGCAAATGGGTACTTTTGAAAGCATCGGTGAAACAATGATGATTGTACAAAAACTACACACCAAAGAAATTCAACAAGTCATCCAGTCCTCCCTTCCCCAATACTCATGTTCTCAAAACAACTTAATTGTGAGACTTACGCAGAGGAAATACGCTTACCAGAGTCAGTGTCCGGGGTGACTGTTTTTCTTAATGGATATCAGCAAAACAATATTTTATAGAGGTTATTAACGATTTTTTTAAAAAGAATTTCTATGCCTCGACTAGACTGCAGAAATTACAGCTTGTGCCAATCTCCTATTTAATTTAGAACTGCTTCTCTTTCACTTTCTGTACCCCAAAACTGGGGATGCCTTCAGCATAGGCACAAGAAGCCAGTAAAAGCAGCTTTTTGAAGTTTCGATTGCAGCTGCTTGTTTGCACAAGGTTTCCATAGCTGGATCACCATCTTCTTCGTCTGTCTTGTAGTGTTGGCGAGCCTGTCATGGCTTGAGACTCATTTCATGTCAACACTTTCAACACTTTTCTAGTCCTGTCCATTTTTGTCAAGAACAGCAGCAGTACCTGTCCCCTGATGTTTCATAAAGTTCTGATGAACCTTCTATTGTAATGGCTTCTTTCCCAACCACTGGAACAGGTTTCACCTGCCACCTCCTCAGTATCTGTCTGAACTAGCAAAAACGTCCTCCCTTCTATATACTACCAATCAGAGACACAGGACCTTAGAACAAAAACGCAGTCTTGAAAATTCTCAATTCATGTCTCTTGCTTATGGTGACACTAGGATAGGGGTGATGACCCTTGACCCCAATAACACTGGGGATACGACAATCCCAGGGTCTCCTCGAATATCTAAATAGCATTTCTTCATAATTATACCAGTTGAACCCAATGTATTTCCCAGCATCTTTCCCATTATTCTTTAAGCAAAATCTTCCTCAGATGAACAAGAGATACTCTTCCTCCGTGCACCTGTCTCCTTCCACACCTATATCCAGTTATATTCTTCTTTTTTTGTTTGTTTGTTTGTTTGTTTTTCGAGACAGGGTTTCTCTGTGTAGCTCTGGCTGTCCTGGAACTCACTCTGTAGACCAGGCTGGCCTCGAACTCAGAAATCCGCCTGCCTCTGCCTCCCGAGTGCTGGGATTAAAGGCGTCCTCCACCACCGCCCGGCTCCAGTTATATCCTTTTCCTTCCTTCTTACCAATATAAACTCCACCCCTCCATTAGATGTATCCCAATTTTGCAAGCAATTCAAACTTATTCAAGCACTCTGCTTCGAATCTTATCCTGAGTTGTTAGGTGTACGGTAATATACTAATTTCATTTCTCTCTTCCCGAAAGGATAAAACTTGGTTATACCTCAATAACCATGGAATAGGATGCCAGGACCGGAACACCATCAACTAGAAATCCCTCAGAGCCCACCGAACTTCCGTGTACATCAGTAACCCAGGCAACCGCCATGCGCGTGCGCAGAATTGTCGACCCACCACCACCTTTCGCTCAAAAAAGGGCCAGAGCGGCCAGCACGCTCCAGCACTCCCCACGCCTACCGCGTAGTAGCCCAGCCCCAGGGCGGTGATCAGCGAGGGCCAGGGTCTGGCTGCACGGAAGTATGCAGTGGGGTCCCTACGGGCCTCCGACTTCGCCACCACCATCTCGAGAGACCTAAACACTGAGTCGTAGGGACAGAATCGCTTCCCGCCCCCGTCCACGCAGGAAGAGCCTGACGAGCCGGTTCCCCAGGCTTAGCCATGGGTGGCCAGTGCGCTTGCGCGGAGCCTGCCTGCGGCTCGCGGGCGTTACCGTGTAGTAGCCGAGGGAGACGATGATGATTGTGAACCAGAGCAAGTTGCCCCTCTGGAAGTAGCCGGCGCCTGTGGCCGTCCCCATCGCTGCAGCGATCCCACGGGACAGTCTCTTGGACCCGGTGGGAGGTGGTCGGGGCGGGGCGAGTGGCTTCCTGTGCACCAGACCCGGAAGGTTGTGGCTTCGGTGACCTGGGGACCGAGTATCGGTCCTTCCCGGTGCAGGAGGCACCTCTCAATTTCAGAGTAGCTGCTGGTTTGCCTCCTTGATAACGGCGAGTCACGTTTCCGAGCCATTTCAGTGAGTCGCGCATAGCCGGCGGCGTTGCGCCTCCTCGTTTGCTCACCTCATTTGGGTAGAGCCATTCACAGCGCTGGCCTCGGGAGCGAGGCTCTACCTACCTCACCTCATTTGGGTGGAGCCATACACGGGAATGGCCTACAGAGTCGGGCTATCCCTACCTGTCTACTGCTTTGTGTAAACTTATTGTGGTTTCTTAGCCCACGTGTGTTTCACTATCCGTAAAAAACTGCCATGTGTTGGCCCAGGTCGAGCTTTTGGGTTTATCTAAAAAGAAAGCATACGTTTTGTTTTTTCTTTGTTTGTTTTTGTTTTTTTTCGAGACAGGGTTTCTCTGTGTAGTCCTGGCTGTCCTGAAACTCACTCTGTAGACCAGGCTGGCCTCGAATTCAGAAATCCGCCTGCCTCTGCCTCCCGAGTGCTGGGATTAAAGGCGTGATCCACCACTGCCCAGCTAAGCATTAAGTTTCTAACCCATACTGCTTACTAAGTATCAGTGATTAATATTAACTCTACTTCCTCCTCTTTCACTCTAAAAAGTAAAAAGTATTACCAGGCACCCACCCACACCTCAAAACAAGAAATCCACTGTCATTTCCCTGAGTCAGACCTCATCAAGCCCCTCTGTGGATGTTAATGGCACTCTCCTCCAACCTTGGATCCATTTATTTTCCCCATATCCACTCAACTATAGGGCAGAACTGCCTAAACATCTTCTGCTCATGACCTCTTTCACTTGAGAAGTTTGTAGATGACCCCCACATACATAAATATATATATATATATGGTATTCAAACCATTACAGACAAGTCATTTTAACAATTTTTGTTATATATCTAATTTTAACATTTTACCAAGGACATTTCCAAATGTACATACCACCGAATAAATGTGCATGTTCATTTACATAAAGAAATCCTGGGCTGTCAAGATGACTCTGTGGGTTTCTGTTACGTGTTGTGGGCTGAATTTGAGCCTCAAAACCCACATGGTGGATATACAACATGGTAGGTACCCATGCATAGAATGAGTAATCATTATTTAGAAATTGATTTCCAGCACTTGGGAGGCAGAGGCAGGCGGATTTCTGAGTTCGAGGCCAGCCTGGTCTACAGAGTGAGTTCCAGGACAGCCAGGGCTACACAGAGAAACCCTGTCTAGAAAAACAAAACAAAACAAACAAACAAAAAAATTGATTCAAATCTTGGCTGATTATTTGATGCTGCAGGACAGAGACTGTTTTCAATGCTTTTCAGAGCTGGTCCATATTTTAAGTTCACAATAGCCAGGGCTGAGAAAGAAATTGTTGGGAATTTTGTCCTAATCTCAAGCCAAAAGCTGTTAAACAATTTGTAAGATGAAAGCCATGTCAGCAATCTTGAACAACAATTTTAAAATTAAATATCCTAGCCGGGCAGTGGTGGAATTCCAGCTCTCAGAAGTCAGAGGCAGGTGGATCTCAGTGAGTTTGAGGTCCTCCTGATAGTCTACAGGGTGAGTTCCCAGACAGCCAGGGCTACACAAAGAAACCCTGCCTCAAAAACTAAACCCAAACCCAAACTAATGTTCCTAGGAGGTGGAGAGATGGCTCAGTGGTTCAGAGAACTTACTGTGCAATCATGAGACCTGGAGCTCAAGTGGCACGGAATTCCACTCTGAAGGATCCGACACTCTCCCCTGGCCTCTTCATATGCACCGGCATGTGTACCATTGGCGCGCACACGTACACACACACACACACACACACACACACACACACACACGGAGCTTTAAAGATGTCTCAGTGAGTAAAAGCCTGAATTTGGTCCCTGGAACTTGAGTGAATTAGTTAGTTTTCTGTTATGATAAAAACCGTGACCAGGGCAGGGAGTTGGTGCAGTGGTTAAACACACCTGTTGCTCTCGTTAAGGACTGGGGCTTGATTCCCAGCACCTATACGAGGGCTCACAACTGCCTGTAACTCCTCTATCAGGGGATCTGATATGGTCTTCTAACCTCTTTAGGTACCAGGCATGTACATAGTACACAGACATGCATGTAGGCGAAACACTCAGATACAAAATAAATCTAAAAGAATTTTAAAAAACCAAGAGAACAACAAAAACCCACCTTGATAAGAAACAACACATGGAAAGAAGAGTGTTTTGTTTGCAGGTTTACATGGGAAATCCATAATGGCAAGGACGGCATAGGAACAGGGAGCTGGCCTGCTTTCTCCAGCATCAGAAGCAGAGAGAACTAGAAGCAGGATGTCTTAGTGAGGGTTTTACTGCTGTGAGCAGACACCATGACCAAGGCAACTCTTATAAGGACAGCATTTAAGTGGGGCTGGCTTACAGTTCAGAGGTTTATCATCATCATGGTGGCATGCAGCCAGATATGGTGCTGGAGCAGCTGAAGGTTCTACATCTTGATCCTCAAGCAGCAGAAGGAAACTGTGTTCCGCACAGGGAATAGCTTGAAAATAGATACCTCAAAACCTGGCCCCCTCTCCCAGTGACACATTTTCTCCAACAAGGCCACACCTCCTAATAGTGCCATTCCTTATGGTCCAAGTACGAAAGCACATGAGTCTGTGGGGGCCATTCCTATTCAAATCACCACAGGTTATATATAAACTTCCATAGTACCCAGTACCCCTCCCACTAAACGCTCTACCTAACAGATTCTAAAAGTTCTATAACCTCCCCCAAGCAGAGCTATCACCTAGGGACCAAGTATTTGAACTTAATGCCTTCTACTACCAAGCCCCAGACCTGGTAAATTGCTTAGTGTTTCCCAACCCGACACCCTGGTCATGGAGGAAAGGGTGGTACAGCCCCACAGCCCAAGGATCTGACTGTTAGTGTGCTGACAAGTCATATGTCAATGTCACACAAGGTCAGGTCGTCTGGGAAGAGGAAATCTTAATCAAGACAATGTCTCCATGGGATTGGCCCGTAGGCAAGTCTGTGGGTCATTCTCGTGACTGATGATTGATGTGGGAGAGCTGAGAAACGGGGGGGGGGGGCAGTGCCACCCACCCCTGGGTAAGATGCTCTTGGAGTATATAAGAAAACAAAATGAGAAAAATGAGCAAACCAGAAGCAAGCAAATAAGATTTTTTTTCAGGGCTTCTTTGATGGAGTGTGACTGAAAGTTGTAAGCTGAGATAAATCCTTTCCTCACCGAGTTGCTTTTGGTCTTTATCACAGCAGGAGAAACCTGAACAAGAGAGGTTTCACATACAGGACATCCAGAAGACATGCACCAGAGAACCCAGTTACTTGGCTGATGTGAAGGCCTGCTGTTTTCTCTAGGTTGGCAGGGGTCTCACACCTGGATACTTTCTCCTTTTCTGTTGTGGTAATGACCAGCACATGGAAGATGATCAGGGAAATAGAAGCCAGTAATTTCACAATCCTTGGAAGGAAGACAAACTCTTAGCAAATATTAAAAAACAACATAGAGCCCTAACATAGTGGCATACTCCTTTGATCCCAGCTCTCAGGAGGACAGAGGCAGGAGGACCTCAGTGAGTTCAAGGCCAGCCTGGTCTCCTGAGAGAGTTCCAGTATAGCCAAGGCCACACAGAGAAACCTTGTCTCAAAAACTCAAAACAAACAAAGGGCAACATAGATCAAAATGAAGGGAGCAGAATTTAAAACTTCATCCTTAGTGTCAGGTCTCAAAGAAGCCAGAGACAAGGCTCAGTCAGTGGCTATGGCTCCTCCCAGCACTTACCCAACCCCTCAGTCTTTCTTGCCCAGGGGCTTCGCTTCCTTCTCCCAGCTTCTCCTTCCTATATAAATTTGCAGTGGCCAGGTGCGTTCTTGGTCCTTGGCTCTTCTCTTGGTTTGCTTGCCCCCCTCCCTCTGCATACCCTCCCCTCTCTACTCTTCCCTTCTTGTCTGGCTGCTCCCACCCCTGACCCCCTTCTCATGGCCCAGTTTAGTCTGGATTCTTGCAGACGCCGCTGGCTATACTCTCATATCTACAGTAAAATTCTTCTTCTCGACCATATTCAGAGTGATCATATCCTCACTTTCATTCACTCAGCTAGGTACAGTGGCACATTGTTGTAATCTCGAGGCTTAAAGTGGAAGTGTGAGGATCAGGAGTTCAAGGGCATTCTTAGCTATGTAGCAAATTTGAGGCTAGCTTGGGTTATATGACGCTTGTTTCAAAATACCTAGTGCAGGAGCCAGGCTGTGGTGGTGCACACCTTTGATCCCAGCTCTTGGGAAGTGGAGGCTGGAGGATCCCTGAGTCTGAGGCCAATCTGGTCTATAGAGTGAATTCCAGGACAGCCAGAGCCACATAGAAACCCTGTCTTCAAAAAACAAAACACTCCCCCACCTCCAAAAACAAAATGAAACAAAACACCCGGGGAAGGTTGTCTAGAAGGCCTGGTGTTTGCTGCCAGGCCTCATCTGGAAGCCATGCACTGGAGGCAGTGAGTTTGACACATTCATGCCTGCTCACAATAAATAGATACATTAAAAAAAAATCTCCCCACACCTGAACAACAAAAAAATTCTCCTCATTCTTATGAAAGTCGCCATAAAGTTAAAAGACTTCAGGGAAGTCTTCAATGTTCACAGTGGGAAGAAGAACAGTGGTCGCGCACTGATCATCCTCAGACACTTTGAGAGAAAAATGAAAAGCTAGCCAAGGATAATGACCCTTAACATATGCAAAAATAAT